GTAGTAGTACGTAGTAGGTAGTAGTAGGTAGTAGTACGTAGTAATAGGTAGTAATAGGTGGTAGTAGTAGGTGGTAGTAGCAGTAGAAGTAGCAGTAGCAGTAGCAGTCGCAGTAGTGGTAGTAGTAGTAGCAGTAGCAGCAGTAGTAGCAGTAGTAGTAGCAGTAGTAGGAGTAGTAGTAGTAGTAGTAGTAGTAGCAGTAGTAGTAGTAGTAGTAGTAGTAGCAGTAGCGGGGTAGTCGGCACCTACAGTCGTTGCCTTTTTGTCCTCTACAATACCTACAGATGTCTGACGTTTCTGGAGCAAGACATGCTGCCGCAAGCATCCCCCTGATATTCGTAGCTTTTGCTTTAAAACCCCTTGGATCACAACAAAAATCTAAGAGGGTGAGACATGTACTTACTAGTTCCAAATTTGATTTCCGCAGTGTTCGAGACTTGGACTCTCGGTGTCGTTTTGAACGAATAGCCGGAGCAGCAGCAGTAAGAGCAGTAGCTAAGCCATCATACCACGACGGGAAATCAAAAACATATTACGACCCCATCGAAGTTGTTTCGGCATCGGGGCGGGTTGCAGGTTTGCAGTCTTGATAGAAGGCGACCGGCAAAACGACCGAGCAATTATTCTGTAAACCCAACTGCATTCATCAATCAGCAGCGAGCATTACGTCGCTACGAGCCAAACACTGCTTCGAGAAATCTCATAGAAGTTGAATGTGGGGAGAAGTTGGCATTGACAGGAATATCAAGTGTGCAAGGCAAGGACCTTCCATCCCTCCCTCTCCTTTTATGATTTCTCCCTGCTGTGTTTTACATGCTGCTTCTTGTCGAACCCTAGCCCTGTGGAGTTTCTGTGTTGAACAGAACCACCTGAGCCTGGAAGTAGATACCGATGACGGGGCTTGCAAGACGGAGCAAGAAGATGGGGGAGACGGGCCATATCTTGCTACGCAGTGCTGCTTTCCGATGAGGCCTTGAAGTCGCGCCGCGGTGGTTCCTGGGGAAACACGGCTGCTTAAACATGTCAGTGTGAAGGCAGAGTTGTCACTGTTGCTTCTCGAATGGCCCTGTTTGACTGAGGCAAAGGCAAGGGCGAGGGCAAGGGCAAGTATGGCAAGGAGTGGCGGCCCCGAGGAAAGCCCGCAGTTGTGCGGGTGGATGCCGATGCCATCGGCCGGCATTGCGAGATCACTGGTGCCCACGGATCCTCGATACAAGCCATGGTGCCGTGGCTGAAAGGAGATGTGTGAAAGGAGATGTGCTACCAGTAGCAGATGCAGAGAACTGACGTGAGAATGACAGCCGACAGGGCAGGAACGGAACAGACTCACAGGAGGCTTATGAATGTTGAATGCGCTTCAATTGTGATGGGTCGTGTGGCCCCTCATCGTTTCTCACATCAGCTGTTCGTTTGCTTTGCCTGAGGCCATGAGCGAGCAGGGGATCTACACTGTCAGCCAGGACAAAACGATGAAACGTTGGAAGCCAAAGATGAGCTCCCCGGGCAAGTACGAACTCGAGGCTGAGCTGCAGGCCTGGCAACATCTTTCGAGCGCAGAGCAGAACGTTGGCGTTGTCATGGTTCACACGAAGTGAGGTGAAGCTCAAGGAGTCCGCCACATCGTTACTCTTCAGCGGCGGCTGGCTCTTTTGTGGCCTTTGGGATGGGCAGGCCGAACGCAAAGCATGAGACCTCATGCTAGCCGTTTTGGGCAGGGGTCGGGCTGCCCACTCTGGATGGCGATGGGCGCACTTGTTCGGTTTGGGCTTGCAAGGTTGGTTTGCATTTGTGGCTGCGGGCTGGGGAAGCGGGCTGAGTGTGTTGTGTGCAACGCGAAAAAGTTTTGCGTCGGACGGCCTGAGGCGAAGTGAGCCCGTCGCCGGGCAAGGGCATGCTCACGGACCAACAAACGAATTCATCGAAATCTAGCCAGCATTTGTGCGGCTGTGGCGCCGCATGTGTCTCGAAAGTCTCAGATCAGAACTAGAGAGACTAAACTGCTTCATCGAAAACGTTTCCATGTGACCAGTAGTTGACCAGGGCCGAAATCACTGACTGATGTTTCGAGCCAGGCTGGAGGCCCGACTGCCTGCGACAGAAAGCACCTAAGCAAGTAAGGTTCAGGCTCTGGAACCGCACTCCAGGGGTCGATTTCCTCGAGCAGTCGATTCCTCGAGCCGCAATTAGGGAAAAAGCATCTGAAGCTTCTGACTGTTCACACCGACTGCGCACACATGGATCCTCGCCTGGCTTGTCCGAGTTGTGAGAGTGTAATTAGGGAGAGAGTGCCGTGTTGAAGTTAGTGACTATGCCTCTGAACTCGAAGCCATTTCAAGAGATGGAGCTTGCAACTAAGACTCATTGTATTTTTTCTCACTAACACTAGGTTCCTCAGAAATACCCTTTTGCCATTTTTCCGTTTGAGCTCCAAGAATAGTAGGAAACAGGGCACCCTCATTATCAAGAACCTAGAACAACATTCAGATCTGTGCATGCACACTCTGACAATCTTCATGCCTCTCGCTGTCCTTCAGAAGGAACGATGCAGTAGCAGCAGAATCTGAAATTAAGGCCAGACTTCACGCGAAGCCAACGCTCTGAAAGAGATAGACTGTTTCTTACTGCTTTCTGCCAAGGCATGGCTGTTGACTGTTGGACGGTAAAATTTCAGTGGTTTCAAAATTCTCAAACTGCTGAATGTCACGGTTTGGTTGTTTGCCGTTTCATGGTAGTCTTCAAGCCTTCGTTGTTTTGCACCTCGGAAGGTACAGGCTTTCGCCCAGGATGGCACAGAAGCGATCCTCCAAGGCCACTCCAAGCGGGCTCGTATCTCAGGCGCTTGCGGAGCCTTGTGACGCGACATCTGTCTTCATCTGAACTCAGTGGCTTTTGAGGTCACAACTCTGGCTGTACATCAGGGTGTGCTCATGCCGGCAGCCAAGCTTCCGGTCGAGAGATGCTTTGGAGCATTGATTTAGCTAAACGAGGCTACTTGCAGTCATGTCTTCAAGCCGGGCTACATGAACATGTGTTCACAGTTCACAAATTCCTGCCTGACTTGTCAAGAACTCCTTCAACCATGAACCTTGCAGAGGTTCTTCCGACTCAAGCATATGGTTTTTCAGAGGATCCAGAAACAGGCTCGGGCTTCCTGATTGGACTGCCCGACTTTACAAGACGACGAGGCACGAACTGCTTCATTCCTCAGCCGCGTTTGCAATGCCAGACAAGCTGCTGGGGGACTGGAATGGATGTAGCAGCCGACCCACTGTGCATTACTTGTACATGGCAGACTGGATCACTATGTGACTATGTATCATGAGACCAGAAGGCACGCGGCATCGGAGCCAGAGACAGAGAAAGTAATCTCCAGGGTGTCATGCCAGCTTGTGTTTCTGTCACTCTGGCTGTGAGCCTCGACATTGAAACTGTACCATGTCGCGCGATCACGAGACGGGCAACGCGCATGTGCGTTTCGATTCTTCGCACGAGCTTGCACCGGGACCACAACCGCGGGCTGGCATTGGTAATGCTTCAGCATCGTGGCACGGGCATTGAACTAAATGGACACTGGAAGTCTAGAATTATTCCGCTGTACCTTCTTGCTAGAGACTCAGTTAGAAGTGGTGATGGAGGATCGCAGTATGCGACATATTGAACGAATGTAGTATCCTCAGCATTGGACATCGTGCTTGAACATCTTCAGGTGTGTTCCGTCAGTCCGGAGGCATGTCGTTTGCCAGAGGGTCCATCGGTTTGTTGTTCACTTCTTGACAAGTGTGGAGGGATGCGAAAATGTCGGATGTCACCTAATACGACTGAGAAGGGAACCATGGTAGGTGCCCTTCCGCTTTTCCTGCTCCTCCTCCTCCTCCTCCTCCGCGTGATGGGCATGTCTACGGGCTCTTGGGGGCTTGACGGTCTTTTCAACCTTAAGAGGAGAAAAAATAGCGTGTGGGTGTGCGTGTGTGTGCTTATATGCAGCATGATATCATCAAAGGTCGGGAAGTTACGATCGAGAAGTACGGCTGTGGCAAATGGACCCAGCGACCAAGAAGTTCAATTGCACCCACACGCTCGAAGAGAGCTTGTCGTCATCTCGGCTGAGAGGGAAATAAATGACGGATGTGTAAAATGCTGCAATGCAGGAGGTACCGACATGCATTTTAAGGCCTGGTTCCATCAGCAAACTCCACGTGCTTGGAAGCTTCCTTTTCGCATGAAGCCGAGAGTCCCTACATCCCGACAGCAGCTGCGGAGGTTTTCCAAGCAACGAGCCCTGGTAAGGTCGGAGGTCAATATGGCCTGGCGATGCTGGACTTGGCCACGCTGAAGGCTTGGCTCGATGCTGATTGAGCGTTTGGTTGCAACAAGACTGCAACATCAACTTACTTGCTCCCACCCCGAGCCCGGGTTAGCGCTGCTCTCCGGTGGATCCTCTTCAATCAAACTCGGTCAAGCAACACGAGCGTCGTTACTTTTTGTGGCATCGCAATGTTCACAGACCATTGCCAGCACAACAGCGAACAGATTGCACTACCTACCCACCTCAATGCGGCCCTGGGGTTTTCGACCCGGCTTTGGGACGCTGGCATACCTGACTGCCATGTTGCCTTCTGTCGGGATCCGGACCCGGGAGCCGAGCTGTGAGCTTGTAGAGTATTGCGAAGCGATGCGAAGCGCAGCAGCGCAGCTTAGACATGGAAGCAAAGTACATTTTCGAACGGCGTCTTTGGGGTTTCAATTTGCCGTTTGCAAGCGAGCAGGGGGCGTGAAGAACCTTCCATTGCCCCAGAAGCCATCCCGGACCTTCACTGAATGTCAAGTTGAATACTTTGACTTGGGAGAGCCGGAGCCCTGCAGCCAAAACTCGGAGAATTTTCGCCCTGGCCAGGTCACAAAGCTCTTGCCACCCACAAAGGCAGTCGTGGACATGCTGGAGTTTCAAGGCCACATCATCGTGGCACCGGCCTCAGTGTGATTCAGACGGCAATGTGAAGCCTGTGTCGCCCCTTCAATACCATACTGTAGCCTTCCTTAATTATCCAGCAGCTCCTCGCTCCAGCCACTTCGACTGAACCTGCCGACGCTCCCCCATTATATTTACTGTTGGATGCCTTATGACGCCGGCCGCTTCTACTGATTCTACTGTTAGCACTCCCCGAATGGCCGAGGGCTGAGTCCAGGAAAGGTAGGAGTGGCCCCTGCCACAAGTCCCTGCATTCTCCGGTCCAAAACCTGACCTTCCAGGCTTATGCAGAAGGCAACTTGAAGATCTTCGATGGCGAGGGGAACTTGAAGTCTGAGACAGCCGCACTGGAAGCGGGACCCATCCTGCGCCTCGCAGCTGGGTGAGAAGACGGATGCCGGCCTTCTGTGTTTCGAGCACTTCTTGCGATCAGGTCATGTCCTGCACGACTGAGGCAGGTTTGGAGTCCGGGCCACGCGTGCTGTGCGCCCATGCTCGTGGACAGGCCCCGCAGCAGTTTTTTGTGTGTTGCTGAGGACAGACGGTTGCAATTCTTACAAACTCTGGTAAGACCTAGTCTTCCGCTCTAGACTATCCTCCAGAGCCTGAGATTGGAGCAGGTCAGCACCATCGTGTTGCCAACCTTTGAGTTCAAGACAGAGTTCCAAGCTTTGCCAGGTGCTGCAAGGGTTGAATTCATGGTGTGGGATCTACAGGGTTCGTCCTTCACTGCGCTGCTTCGGTTCGCTTGGATTGCACATGTGCACATTCTGGATCATTCCGGGACCGATAGCTCGAACAGAGAGGCTGCTATCAGGTTTGGCAGCTCATTTTACAAGATCCTATGGTAAATAAAGTCTTGTGCTTGCTGCCAAAATTGTCCAGTGGGCCGTGCCAGGTCAGAAGATTGACAGTCTACTTTGCGCCGGGCATGACGGGATTTTCCTCATCGGCTCTCAGGCAACAGCATGAGGGCGCAATACTATGGATTTGACATGAAACCTGCAGGTATGGGAGAATGCGAGACTAGGACTAGTCTAACTTACATGCAGGCTCTGAAGCATGCAGACTAAAATGTCACCACCCCGAGGCATGATAGCATTTGTTTCTTTGCAATCTGCAAAACCCCCACTACGGGTTCGGCACCTTACACCACGTTGATCCAGGGCTCGCGTATTCTTCGTCTAGACCGTTTGGCTTCCACCGCGGGTGCGAGTTTTTGTCCGACACGTGGTTTTTCCTGGCGCTCCTGTCACGCGCAGCTTCTTGGGCGTAGAGTTTGCAGGTGGCCCAGACTAGGTACCGCAATCGAAGGCTGTCGCAGGAGGTCTGCTGAAGGGGCCAGGGATGACTGGAAGCGGCACAAGGCTCTTCTTGAGAGAGTGTGTGCCTTTCCCTTAGACCGTGCTGGTTACTTGTTTGCCGGCTTCTTGTGTGTCTTGTGGGATCGTGCGCATCAACCGACGGACTGTCTAGATTCCTGTTGGTTTGGACCGGCCTGCGTTATCCGCTTCATGTGCTCGAACTTGGTGACTTGGTGCTGCGCATGCGCATGCATGCGCGCATGTGGCACTGTGGCACAGACGTGCTGCACCACTCGAGAGGTCCGATGTGACGGTGTAATCTTTATTTGTCTTTGGATCACCGATGCGGGGCAGAATATTGTTGGAGACGGTTTGAGAGGTGTCGTCATGCTTTCAGGATGGCACCTTGCAGCTGTGGCAGCGAGTGGAAGGTGGACTGCCAGGCAGGTGGAGCTTGTCGGGCAGACGCACCACCAAGCTCTCTGACTTCAGGTTGATGTGTTGAAAGCTGAAGCACACCACCGAGTGAATGAAGAATCCATGCCTCGTGCAAAATGTGTCTCCCTGGGCAGAGGCAGAGAGCCCTCAGCACAAAGGTGCAGTGTTCAATCCCAAGCTCCATGCCATGCTGCCAGCATGTTTTGATATACATATATATATATATACACATCGCAGTGAGAGTGCTTTGAGATTGTTGAATGTGCGATTGCCATGCATGCTCAAGCCTTCATTGAAAAGGGGGGAAACTGGATCCAGCAAAAGCGCAGATGCAAGCGGCTGACTATGTCCTATCCACCCAGCTATCCAGCTTATCCCACTTCGGCGGCGTACCCTCCAAACTATGACCCGCAGGCTTATGCATACCCGCCGCAGCCGGAGGCTCGACCAGCTGATGGTGCTCCTCCTGCTGCACCCCCCGCAGCAGCCGCCCCAGCTCCAGCTGCCGACTACTACTCGCAGCAACCTCCCCAAGCCGCCCCTCCATCTCAGCCAGATCCCTACTATGATTATTATCGACAGTACTATGGCTACCCTCCTCAGCCACAGGCCTATCCCCCCTCCGAACCGCCTGCACAGGCGGCACCGGCTGCACCAGCACCTGCTCCCGACTACAGTGCTTCAGCTTCCTATCCTCCTGCAAGCAGCTACCCGCCCACTCCAGCTCCAGCTCCAGCTCCAGCTCCAGCTGGCTACCCTCCAACTTATCACCCGCAGCCAGCGCCGGGCTATCCAGCATATCCGCCTGCCGAGGCATATGCACCCCCTCCTGCCCAATACAACGACCCAGCCAGACCACCTGCGCCGGTACCACAACCGGATTATAGCCACTATGCCCATGCATACCCAGCTTACCAGGCTCCAGCATATGCTTACCCGCAGCCGTATGGCTACCCACCTCCACCAGGCCCACCGGGTTATCCTGCTCCCTACCCACCCCCGCCGGGTCCCCCACCTGACCGACCAAACGAAAGGAAAGACCGAGCACCGTCCCCGAATCGCCGCGACGACAGGAAGCGTCCGCGCGATGGCCGAGACGGTCGAGATCGGAATGATCGACTCGACAAGAGACCCAAAGAGACGGCTCCAGATCCTACCAAAAAGTTACTCCAACACGTGCAAGCGCACAAAGCTTGGAACGTGTTTTGGCTTGAGGCTATGGATCCACCACAGCGGCCAGCGAGCAATCCCAACGTGACAGTACTCATTTTGGCGACGGGTAGTGGCTCCAAAAGTCGCTCTTCTTTCGGCTTCTTAATGGCAGCATCTCGACAGCCACAGAAGCAGAAGGATCGACAACGTGAGTGTGCACGTGAGCTGCTTGCTCAAGTCGAGCAGCTGCTTGCAAGCAAAAGCGAGGCCGACCTCAGGACATGGTGCCAAGTGTCGGAATCAGCGGAAGCAGATATCAACCAGGACGCATCTTTGGACAAGCTCAAAGGCATGATCTCCAACAGATTAGCCACTACTGGCAGCAAAGGATCCCAGTCTGTGGACCTGGAGTTTAGCAATCCCAGCAGCTGTGTGATCACTTCCTACGCAGCCTACGAAGACGACAATTCTGAGCCAGACCTGGCTGCCATGGACTTTTTTGCACCTGATTCTTCCGCCCAGCTCGCGGAAGCCCAAAAGCTTGGCGGACTCCTCAGGTTGCGATGGTATTTGGCCGTTGTGAAGGCCATTCGGAAAGGAAAAGATGACAAGAGGGGAGAGTGCGGACCTCAGAGCCTTAGCAACTTCGGATTTTCGACTTTCGCGATCCGCAATTGCCACTCAGGAATTCACCATATCGGCCCTTGGCCCTTGGCGTTGGGTTTGCCACCGACGAGAGCGTGGCGAAGGTGTTGGGAATGCAAGAGCCGACTGCAAGTATGTGTGCGTGTCAAGCTTGTGCAAAGAAGTCGTCGTCTCCGTCTAGTGGCAGGCGCCTAGTCTTCGGTCTTCCTGTCAGGCTGTGCAAGCTCGGGCCGAGTCCCTCCTTCATGCCCCACAGGTAGCTGCACAGCGCTAAAACTTTGGAGAAGCGTGCACCCGATGCTACTCCTTCAAATCTAAATAGGACAAGCCTGAAGTGTCATGTGATGCCACGTGAGAAGCGGCAGGCCCGTGCGCTGCGGGCGGCTGAGGTGCGCGCGGAAGTGCTCACCGAGGTTCGGTATCTGGGGCAAGCCTTTTTGGGGAGGAGTTCCCTATTCGGGGGTTTAGTTGAGGAGGGCTGAGGCGACGTCAGATTGATGTCGTGCGGGTAAGAATGGCAAGTGTTCAGCATCATGGGCTTCGAGTTTGGAACATGTAACATGAGTCAAACGTCCGGTTCGCCCCAGCTTAGAGATAGAGAGAGAGAGAGATATGGAGATGGAGGGGGTCTTGACCGGATTTGACCGGACCCTTAGGCCCTAGGGAGAGAAAGTCTCAGGCCCCCGAATCGGGGAGGGCCGCGGGAGAGGCCTACGGTTATTCCGATATTCCAGCCCATGGTCCTATGGGGAGAGTACGGTGCCGTCCTCACCGGTGACCGCAACTCGGCGTGCGGGGGATGATACAACCAGCTACTCCACCGCAATCGGCGACCAAACTCAGGACATCGCCCTACCGCCAGGTCCATCGCTCGCGCATCGTTTGGTGGGGGAATATCACGCACACCCTCAACGAAGCCGAGATGATGCCGCCGGAGAGAGTCCTGAAAACAAATCCGGCGAACCGCAGAAAGGGCAGAAGCCGCAAGAGCACGCCGATAAACGCACAAAAAATGAGTAGCCGAAGCTGCAGATTGAAAAGCCGCACGAGTACTGCAACAGTTCCCCTTTGTGCTTTGAACATTGATGCGCTTTGTGCTAACCGACATCCTTCTATGGCCTGCTATTCATCAACCTTCAAATGTGTGGTTTCGTTGTATCGGATTGTATCGTTTGCACATTCGGCGGTTTTCATTGGTCCAACCACACCTGAAACAATTTAAAAAAAAAAAACGGACTGCTGGAGCCGTCCAGACTTCTCTCCACCTTACTGTAGGGGCTTCCTGTCTGCGCTTTGATTGCCTGCCGGGGCACAGCGTTGCTGTGACATCTGCAAGCCCGACTTTTCCCACAATCCTGTAGAGTTTCCTCGCTTGCTCGAGGAACCCTTCTTTATCGTCTTTACTTAACCTTGCGAGCAACTTCCTTCTTTAGAGGGTTGTTTGCCGTGGACTGCTTTGGAACCAAGTCCGTTTTGCTGTGTGTTCTTTAACTCTTGCACCCGCAATCAGCGGTTGCGCACTTGCGCGAGGGACGAAAGAAACAGTCAGTGAGTGCGAGTGTGAGTGTGTGTGTGTGTGTGCATGAACATCCTTAGCACATGGGAACAGAGGGTCACTCCTACATCGCTATAATCTTTGCAGCGCAGGAGGGCTAGACATGTGCATTGGTCGTTTTCCTAGCGAGAGAGCCTTTGCACATGCTGATATTCTCGGGAGACGTCCTGGGAACATACCTGCGATGAAGTTTGTGACATCCTACTCCTACAAGCTGTGCATGTTGCTATCCTGTGATATCGCCGTTGTACAAACATACTATCTGCAGCCAGCTCGTAGCAGCCTCAGGCCAGTGCCTGCTTCACAGCATCCACAGCCACTCCGAGGGTATGATCACTAAGCATAGCAGACCGACCACGGCAACCTCGAGTCTTTCATCATCGGGTTCAGTGACCGGCGAAGAGCATTCCAGACGATCAACATTACAAAACAAGCCCCGGGCCTATCCTAGAAAACCGCTCCGCTCAATCTTCCATGCTCCGGATGGCAGCTTGGTGAAAGTTGTTCCCTGCCCGAAGCAGGAGTTCCGACACAGACTACACGACGCCAACCGGCTTGATAACACATTTTTCATGCCTCGACGGGCGGAACTCGTCCTCAAGTTTTTCAAAAAGCAGGGCCACACGTCCGTGCTTGTAAAGGCACAGCGCAAGTTTTCATCCACACTTAGGTTGGCACAGTCCGCGCTGTCTAAGGAAAACAAACAGATGCAAACAGATGCCGCATGTTTGATTTGTGAGCAGTGATCCAAACGCGCAGAAGCAGGCTCAATATGCCAGTTCCAAGGAACAGTCCGACGTGGATCCACGCCGTACCACAACAATGCTCTCCGCCATGTACCTCTCGCAGACATGTGCATTACCGGGTACACCAGCACCTCGAAGAGCAAAAACTTACTTACATGTTTTTACTGTCCAGCAAGTCAAGTACACCGCCAGCCTTTAATTCGAAGGGGACATCCAATGCCCAACACAACAGCGGAAGAACTGTTGGAAGAGCAACAGTATGGCAGGATAGTTGTCACTTTAAAGACAGTTTCCTACAGCTACAAGTCGGATTGCACATTCGGATTTGAAAACGCTCCACTAAGGATATACTTTCCACGTGTAGAGCTGACATTCCCTCGACAAAGTACAAACGGCGCAACGGACCATCTAGAGCTTGATTCCCCAAGCCGACCATCAGCGGTCAGCCCGCCTTGTTTGTACTTGAGGCTGTGCATCGTGTTGCCTTGTGCTGCAACGGCGCACCGCCATGGACTCTATGGGTGTTGGATGACCTCGCAGAGCCAACGACATGACACGACTACAACAAGGACCAACATCTACTTCATCTACGGAACACACTCAACGACCATTCCAACACATAACACCGACAAACACTGCGTCACAGCAGATTACGCTCATGGTTTCCAGAAGCCGCAGTGGCCAACGACACGCTAGCCGCTAGCACGCATGACAGAGTGCGTCACGGACGCCACATGAACCACAGTATCAGCACAAAGCATGGACGACAACGGTGCCATCAACAGCCCCCCGACATACAACAGCAGTGCCATGTACCACCACCCCCACCACCACCGCCAGCATCAGCACAGCCGCGCTTCAAAGCGCCGGAGCCGCTACAAAACAAGGTCCGCCGTGTGGCAAGCCGGGAAGTAACATCTCTTGTACTGACGAAGTACGACAACACTTGCGAGCATGGGAACTGGGAAGCGTAGAATCCAGGTTCCACACCGTATCTAGTGGAACCCACAGGTTTGACGAATGGTTGTGTCGTCATGACTTGGTGGGATGCAGATCACAAACAGTCAAGGAACGACCGATTGGAAAATATTTCGTCTACCAAAACTTGCGGTACGGCACACCAGCAGTGCATTCGGCATGGATGAGTCGGATTACACAGCCCCGGCGTGGCATGCCGTACTTGCAGCTGGAACTCGTGCCTCGTTTGTCCATTGTTGCCAACGCTTCCTACTGCTACCGTGGTGATGCAGAAGGAGATGAAGTGGAAGTCGAGGAGCGAGTGTTCTATGATGAGATCGCAGTCAAGCGTTTTGCCTAGAAGGACATGTCACTGAAGCGAGTTTTTCTGCAAAGTGGGTCAGTGTGCTGCCTTGTCAAGCTAGCGTCTGGTTGTCATGTGGATGAGTGTTTGCGAGCTTCATCTTTAGGGACAGATTAGTGTGGAAATACTTGCCAAATTCTTGGTGAGCCCGTTAAGGCATGTGTGTGTCCCACCCTGTTTCTAAGGGTTCCCTCTGTGAGAAAGTACAGCTGCACCGTGCGGTTTCTCTTACAAAAGAATCAGGTTGCTGCATCGGTTGGTAGGTGTTTGGTGGACAAGTGGATGAGTGGTTGTGAACTTCAGCTTTAGAGACAAGTCTGCGCAGAGATATTGTTCCGACCCATAGTGAGCCCGTTCGGGCTTGTGTGTGTCCCACCCTGTTCCCCGAGACAAGTGCAGAAGTGTAGCTGCGTAGCTTGATGTTTTCAGCAGGGGTGCAGGCAGAGAGTTCAGGTTTGCACCCTTGTAGACATTGACCAGCTCTTGATGAAATTCGATGGGACGCCATCGAGTGTACCCGCAAGATGATTCACAACTGTAGCAATGCATCTAACATCTTCGCTGTATGTGGTTATCCTCGGTGTTGCTTTGATTCTGATGCAAGTGAGTGCGCATTTTGGGTTTTCCGTCGTTGTCGCTTCGACTTTACAAGTGGATGCACGCTCGAGGCATGAGGATTAAGGCTGATTCCTGACACCTACTGATTCAACCTGATTTGGAGTGATACGCCTGACTCTGCAGAACGGGTTGAGGCCTGCCGACACATTGTGTCAAGTGTAAGTGTCTGTGCGTGTGTGTGTGTGTCTGTATGTGTCTGTATGTGTCTGTGTGTGTGTGTGTTTGTTTTCTGTTTGTGTGTGCGTGTGTGCGTGTTCGTGCGCGTGTGCACGTAGATGTGTGTTTGCGTGCGTGTGTGTGTGTGTGTGTGTGTGTGTGTGTGAAGGCGATGTTTCTGAAGCCGAGCTCGAAAGGCCGATGGCTCAGTATGAAGCCGAAGGTCTTCAACGACTTCTTGCATGCTCCTGTGCATCCCTTTCTCTTTATGGGCCGTTCCGAGGATGAGACATTGACCAACCTTGGCTGAGGAAAGCAGACGCACCGATCCAATGAAAAAAAAGTCGCTGCGTGATCGCGGTGGTGCTGGTGCTGGCGGTGGCGGGGGTGTTGCCGGGGCGTGGGTGGGTGGCTGGGTGGGTGGTGGCTGGGTCGGCATGTGCTTTTGGACTGCGGCTGCAGGAGCATGTTTCGTGCGTTTTTGGTATGTTTGTTGATGTCGTGCTAGGCGGTTCCGTCGGGTGCACAGAATGGTGTATTGAGTTAGGTTGTGTGGTTGTACGTGTTGTGTTTTTGGTTTGCGTGTTTTCTTTCTTGCTTGGTGGCTGCCTGCTTGTAATACTGTAGTTGGCCTGTACCCTGCATATGGCATGTCGGGATGGAGCCTTCCACGATAACACGCACAGTGGCAGTGGGCTATGGCTCCGTCGCACTCGCAATGGATCTGCCTGAAATCTCAGTGGTCTACGAGTCGAGTGGCGGACCGCCTGTCAGTCATGCTTAAGGATGAGAGGCTTCCAGGCATTGCGAGGGCAGAGTTTACACAGCAGAAAGCATGATGAGAAGCATACCACCTGCAAGGCACACACTTATGCAAGCCATAGCCATGTGCAAGCACATGGCGGCAGTGCTGATTCAGCTTCAGTGCTGCTCGCATCTTCATGGCGAAGAAGGCAGGATGCGTGTGCAGCATTGACAGCGTTGAGCTTACATTTCCCATTTCTCGCCCAGCTCACAAGTCCTGGAGCAACAGATTTGGTCATGTTTTGGTCGTCAAATATACGCAGGGGGCTAACTTCCTGCTTTGGCAGCATGATGTGATGCTCGCACGATGCATTCAACAATCATGCTGAGAAGCTGACACATTGTGGATCGGCTGAGGCGCCCAAGCTTTAGAAAGATGAGTTCAATGCCCAGGCATTGAGAGCGATTTAGACAAGCTTGTTCAGGTCGGTAAACCTTCACGATTGGCTCCCTCACGGCATCGGGCTCATTTTTAGGGATTTCGTGTCGTGATGCAAACACACCTGCTCAACGTCGTCTACCTTCTTGGTGCATTTGACCCGCAGCTGGCGGCTCATGCCTACGACTCTTTACAGGATCTCACAGGCAGTAGCATTTGCGGGCATGCAGACACTCGCCGAGCGCCGAACGGTGCTTGCAGCCTTGGCTGGAGGAGTATCGCTGCTGGCGATCCGCTGGCTTCGGAGTTCCAAAGTCGAGCGTTTCCGAGTGGTCCCCGGTCATTGGTTGCTGGGCGTTCTCTCGCAACTTGGCCCGGGGGCGAAGTTCATCACTCAGAAGATCGAGGAGTGGTCGCTGATGTATGGTCAAGAAGGGGTCTTCGAGATGAACCTTGCTGGGTCCCGTTCCGTCGTTGTGTGCTCTTGGGAGCAAGCACGTCACATCCTAGCCCGCAGACCCTTTAAAGTAACGCGAGGTTCGAAGATTCAAAACGCCTCAGACATCTTTGCTTTCCTTTTCTCTTCGGAGGGGGAGCGCTGGAAGCGCGAGCGACGTGTGATGGCCCCGCCGTTCAACGCCAAGAGTGTGGAAAGCCACATTCCAGCCATGGAGGAGGTCGTGCAGCAGCTTTTAACGGAGATTGCCAAGGATGCGCCCAAGGGAAAAGTGGACTTCTCGACGCTTCTGCCGTTGTACAGCGCAGAAGTGATTTGCAAGACAGCTCTGGGCCAAGAGCTGCAACTGCTTGAGTCTCGCAACGCTGAGATCACTTCTGATATCAAGCGGCTATTTCAGGCTGTGCAGTTGCGGTATTTCTCGCCGGTACCGTACTGGAAGATTCCTGGATTGGCTTGGCTTATTGACAATGGTGCAGAAATATCCAGACGCTTTGACCGGCGATCTGAGGAGATTCTGAAGAATGCTAGTCGCAGCAGGAAAAGCATTGCTCAGAAGTTGATGGACATGGATGGCGACAGGTTTACTCACAAAGAGCTGCTTCACAACATAACAGGCCTTTTCGTAGCAGGCACAGACACGACAAGCCTCACCACATGCTGGGCCTTCTACCACCTTGCTCGAGATCCGGAGTTTCAGACAAAAGTCGCAGAGGAAGTGCGGTCGCTTCCAGATCATGAGGTCTCCTCTGCGCAGCTGGACTCCTTTCCTTTGCTGCAGGCGCTGTGGTTGGAGACGCTTCGCTGTCACGGACCGCTGACTTTCATGGAGCTGGAACCGGCAGAGCCTGTGACCCTTGTAGGTCGCAAGGTGCCGGTGGGAACCACGATTCTACTCGCTTTGCGGAGTATTTTGAGGAATGATCCAGAAGTCAAGAAGGAACTTGGTGACGACTTGCATGACTTTCGTCCATCGCGGTGGTTGGGGCCTGAGGGCCTGAACAGACATGCACCCTTCGATGCGCTCCCATATGGCTACGGACCCCGTATTTGTGTGGGAATGCGTCTTGCGGATTATGAGGCACGCCTCGCCATTGCCAAGGTGGTTCAACGATTCGTACTCGAGAAGTGGGAGAGGCCGCCACTGACCGAGACCATGAGCACGGTAGGCAACCAGCCCGAAGAGCCAGTCTCCATAAGCGTTCGGCTCAGATCCTCCTGAGTGTTCGCACTCTTTCAGCGAAGCTGATGTTTTAATTTAGGATCGCTTGCCATCGGTTCCGTCGCCACTGAGGAACGTGCCTTGTACAGTCGCTTGGACTTTACAGGTGTGCAATTGAAAAGCCAAACGTCGGCCATTGTCGAGCAGAGAGCAGAGACGTCACCCTGTCACGTACGGGTACCAGAAGGCTAAAAGTCGCCGCTATGCAAAGGCCAGCCAGCCGTTTGCTCGTGTTCAGAAGTTTGGCTTGCGATTTTCAGCTTGTCACACAACCAACCACTTCTCGGTCCCTGCTTGCCTGACCACCAGTCGCCCAGTCGCCAGTTTATCTGTTCAGCCTGCCAGATCGCCTGGTGCAGGCTCTTCCAAGTGCCGCAGTGTAGACAGATGACGTGGATGGGTGGTGCAAGGTGACGGACTGCCCCAGCACGTACAACGAGAGGGTCGTTAGTGGCCATCTAAGGCAACTGGGCCGTCATCCGTGCTGGACGCAAGAGTCCCAAGCTGCAGCCTCGGTCCGGACGCAAACCCTAGCAAAAGACATGTGGGGTACTACGTAGCCAGAGGCACCATGACGACGACGGGTCCTAGTATACGATAGAGTTTAAGGTAAGCATGATGGTGACTTTGGCTAAGTGGCACCCCACGACATGTGGTTGCTTGGGCCCTGAGGTTGAGGCCTTAGATGTGTCTAATTCGAAGCTGTGGGGTCAGAGTTGTGATTTGTCGAAGCACCTGACATGGCGTTCGTAGAATCCAGGGACGGCAGAACCCACTCAGCATGAGTTGGTGCATGGCAGCTGTGTGTGGTGAAAGCCACGAAGAAGCGTGGGGGGACGAGCAAAACAGGAGGGAGACCCAACCGCAAGTCCTAACCTTGAATCCTTAACCCGCAACTTAATGCCCCATGCCGTGGACCATCTTCAAGCCTTAAGTCCTAAACCTTGGATACTGCCCGAACCATGAACAGTCTTGAATAAGGCTTATACTATGGGCCTTAAATATACAACTGTTTGTGTGTTTGGGCTTTGCCCACTTTAACCTGCACAGCCGAAAGTGTGTCAGCTTTGCTGCGTGTCGAAAACTGGGCAGCTAACCTGGGGAAGAGGCTCTGGGGTTTAGGGTCTAGGGATGTAGTCCCATCTCCCTAATATTAAATCCCCCCACCCCCTGACATTAAATATTCACACGAAGACTATATAGGAAATATGTTTCATATTAGGGGGCGGGTGGTTTAATATCAAGGTAATTGATTAGGGTTTCTTGTCGGTCTTAGTGTTTGGGCTGCAGCGTTTATGGCTTGGGGGTGCTGGTCAGGAGAGTTCATTGGGAGGTTGCGAGGCCTCATAGGAGCAAAGAGGCAAGCAAGCTCTGCCCCTGATTACCCTGGGGGTCCAGGCTACTACTAACCTAATCATAATTATACTTTTGGGCTCTGATCCATTTCGAATCTGAGTATTACTTGGAGGTCCGCCGTAGGTATAACCGTGTCAGCACTGTACTTACAGAGCAAGCACTCATGGCTAGAGCGCACTAGCCGGTTTGGGGGGTTCCGAATGAGAATATGCATGACCTTACATGAGGACTCCAAACGACGATGATGGCACCGATGAGTGCTTCTACAATATTGTTGCCATTCTGATGGGCTCAATGTCATGTGCAAGCTGATGAGTCATGTAAGTATTTCGTGCTGGAAGGCTTGCTGATTTGATTGCTTGTCTGCGATCGCAATGATTGCTCAAATTCCGTAGGTTTTCCGCCGTGACTGTTGATTCTTGCGCCTCCGGCCTGTGCAACGAGTCGGAGTCATGTGGGTTCTTTCGTGGCAAGATCCCAATTCCGCCACCTCCCATCCGTTGGCCTACAGCAGCCAGATTGTCATGGTGAACCCAGCGGCGAGCCTTGGCAGCATCGAGAGTACCGTGGAGACCGTGGAGACCATGAGCTCCAAAAGCGTGGCGCCCTCCAGTCCGGGGAAATCGGAGCGTGGGGAAAGTCGGGCCTTGGCCCGGGCTGTCCCGGCCCCGGCCGGTCCAGGGGCCTTGTTTTCGGAGTCCGCTCTGAAGGCATTTACTGCAGGCTACGCCTCCTTCGGACAACTGGACGGTGATCTCACGTTGAAGGTTCTGCTCCAAAACTGCCCAGATCTGGAGTCCATCTCTACTCTTTCCGAGGTGGCCAGCCAGCTTGGCACCAGCCCAGCCACGCCAGCCACACCGGCCACCCCGTCCCAGGCTCGGGCAACCCAGCTTCAGGTGTCTGAGGTGGCAAAGAAGCTTCTCTCTTTGCCGGGCTCTCCGCTATTCAAGCACAGGCCTCCCCTTTGCCTTCCGGACGACGCCCTGCGCTCGTCTGCGGAGGAGTGCCAGGAGTCGGTGCTGTCGGCTGAAGGCTACACCATCAAGATTTCCCAAGAGCCCACGGCTGATTTGGCCAGCCAGGTTTGCCAAACCCAGAAACCTGCAAGCCTGGCGCCGGCCAGCCGCCAGGATTCGGAAGCTTTCCATGTGGGCTCAGTGCCCGTCAGTCCAGGCAGGGCCTTGGAAAGCTCCGAAAGGGCTGAGGATGAAAGCGTGCCGCATATTGTCGTGGAGCCGCCGGCGACCCCTGCCAAGTCCCAGGCCGGGGTGATCCAGAGAGAGCAGAAGAGTGATTAGATAGAACTAAGCCCAGACTATGAACAGGTGGCTTCGCAGGGGGGCTGCTCACAGCCTCCCACTCCCGGACGACGAAGCATCGGCGTGCTGCGCAGCCCAAGGGTCACACCTGCTAAGGCCAAAGCTGAGACAATCCAGGGAGCTTTAAAGAAAGATCGTCAGACCATTTGCGCCCAGACTGTTCATGGACAGGTGGCTTCGCAGCCCGCCAGCCCAGGGCAAAGCAATGCATCGAAGCTGCACAGCCCGACGGCGACGTCTG